TCTCTCTAAAACTTTGCCGTTGTTTACATGTTTCGTCTATGGTATCCTCAGAATTATTCTGTAGAACCACTTTTCTGTTGCTTCAAGTCTTTTCTTCATCTTTGGGGAGATTGTCCAGCATTCATAACAGTTCAATGCTTTTTGTTTGATTCTAACGTAGTTTTTCTGTCTCTTAATACTCTGCTTAGCTTTTGGAAGGCAGCTTTGGTCATCACTATACGTCTTCGGATCTCAGTGTCGCACTTTTCTATCCTTTGTTAGAACACTTCCCAGATCTTTCACCAGACTGTTTCGAATCTACTTCACACTATCCATTCCTTTAATTCCTTATTAACTCTTTATATTTCTCTTCCCCTTTCTCCATTCCTCCTCCTCTTTTTTCCTTCTTTCACACTTTTTTTCACACTCAATTTGTTTAGGATTTTCTCGTTTTCTTTCTTTTCATTATCGATCTCTATTTTTGACTTCTCCCTTTCCCATACACTGACGCATGCTTTCTATTTTCCCTTTTCTCTAACTCCCTCTTTCTACTCATTGTTTCTCATTGTCTTCCTCCCCACCTTCTACCATAATCTCTATTTTCTTGTCTCTCCTTTTTTTTATATTCCTATATTTATTTCCTTTTTTCTTTTTCGCAATTTCTCTCTTTCTTTGTCCCTTACCTTTTCTTTTTTCTATTTCCCGCTTATTTTCCGTTTCTCTCTTTTTCCTTTTTACTCTATCTTTCTTTCTTTCTTTTTTTCTTTCTTTCTTTCTTTCTTTCTTTCTTCTACATCCACCTTATTTTTTCTTCTCGCTCTTTTTCACTATGCCCTTTTCGTTCTTTTTATGTTTTCTAGCTTTCTGTTTGGTATCATCTCTTCCTCTTCACACCCCGTTTATCTCCTATCAGCCCCACTGTCTTTTTTATATTGCTCTTTCCTATTTATCTATATCTCTCTTTACTCTTCTCTCACTTTTTCCCCTCCTCTTTTCCCCTTTCCCTTATATTCTTTCTCTATCCAATTCTCTCTCTCCCTTCCATTATCTTATTTCATAACTCTTTTTTTCTTTTCACTGTTGTTTTTTTTCTCTCTTTTCCATTCTCTGTATTTGTCCGTCTCTTTCTTCGTCTCTTTCTTTCTTCGTCTCTTTCTTTCTTCGTCTCTTTCTTTTTCCTTCTTTTTATCCTTTTAATTGTTTTTCCTTCTCTTTTTCTTTATTTATTTTCCCCCTTTCTTTCTTTTTTACTCGTTTCTCCCCTCTTTATTTCCCCTTTTCTTTATTTTTATTTCTTTCTCCTCTCTTTCTCATTTTCATTTTCACTGTCACTTTCTACTCATCTCTCTTTGATCTCTTCTCTTTCCTGTTCGATCTTTCTCTCTTTTGTCCTCGATTTAACTCTTCTCTCTGTTGCCATCTTTTTCTTCCCCTTATCTCTCTTTTCTCTCCACACTTTTCCTCTTAATCTTTCACTATCGTTCTCCTGCTATCTTGTCACTTTTTTCATATATTCTTTCTGTCTTTATTTTCTCTTTCTCTTCCCTCTCTCTCTCTCTCTCTCTCTCCATTGCTTCTCTTTCTTCTCTCGCTGTTATTGTTTCACTCAAGAGACACTCATATCTTGATTACCTTTTCGTTCGCTTCGCACCGTTGGCTTCCCTGTTTGACGCTGCTGCTCCCCACAATACATCCACCCACAGAATATCCCTCGGTGTTCGCTTTACCCAATTACCCCAGCCCAGATCTTACCGATGCATATTTCTGAGGGTAATAAAACGCACTCAGAGATGCCTTTGTCAGGTCAGAACTGAAAGAATGGTCGAAACTATAGAAATGTTCTTGAATTCTTGGGCAAACGACATCAGAGCTGGTCATCGCCCTGTGGCAGCTAGCTACCCCCAGTAAAAAAAAAACAAACAAAAATAACAGCAAATAACCCCCCCCCCAAAAAAAAAACAAAAAAAACTTGTACAAACTTTCTGACACAGTTTCTACTTGAACCTATACAAAAAGTAAATACTTTCCTATATACATATAGGCAGCAAGTCTTCACTTAACATTAAAGGTCGGTTCTTGGGAAGATTTACAAGCTTCTCTCTGACGACGTAAAGAAAAAAAAATGCTTTTCGGTCAAAAGAATTAAGTTTCTAACTCTACAGCTTGTTGCCTATCGTTGAATCAGTCCTGGGTATAACGATAAACTCCATCCGGCAGCAAGATCTCGGATCGGGAGACTGGTCCGGGGTGGTAACACTTTTTAAGATCCGATCACCGAAGTTAAACAACGTTGATCTTGGTCAGTAGCTAGATGAGTAACTACTCTTGGGAATACCAGCTGCTGTAAGCTTGGATGTGCGGATGGTGTAATGGATAATAGCTTGGAAGTGTTAATCGGAGATCCGAGTTCCAATTCCACTTGGATTTGTTATATTCACTTACACGAAAATATTCCTTTCTTTCAGGATATGGTTAGTTTTAGACCTACTGGAGTGGCAGGATGTAATCGATTTCTATTTTTTCCTCAGATTAGGTCATTTGCAGTGGTGTGCAGTAATATGTATATATTTTACGGGGTGTATGATGAAATTTGTTTGGCTTTGAAAAAAACTGCGTCGCCGTGATTGCATCAGATTTTAATCACGACCAGACACTATTGTCTCGACTGTCGATTAGTTGTCATTGTCTACGATGGACGTTACTCCCAGGAAACGTACGAAAATTTTAACACTGTACGAACACATTGGCAAGCCTTACCAGTGAGCAAATCAAAGTACTATAGACTGTCCCGAAAACTCTCCTGATTTAAATCGAGAATCTGTGGTCAATCTGAAGGGAGCGACTTCGTGGTATGCACATACGAAGTACTAACATTCGATTCTTTCAATTAATTTGAGCAAGGGTATATGTTTGAGATGTGATTCTGAGGCTAGATCTCTCCACGAGCCCATCATATAAAAGAAATCTTCTTTGCAGCTAGATCATTTCTACAATGTCCGTCATTGTTCTACGTTTTGCAAACTGAGAAGTTTTGAAATATTTCTCTTTAACCGCAGGCTTACAGCCATATCAAATAGTAATTTATCCTCTTTGATCAAATGATAACAAGAATTAAGTTCCTAACTCTAAAGCTCGTGATCTATCCACGAATCAGTCCTGGGTAAACGATAAATTTCATCTGGCAGCAAGGTCTCTGATTGGTATACTTGAAGTATTGAGAAGCCTGGAACCAGCTCTCAATTGCTGTTGTTCCTAGGCCCACCCTGAGCCAGGGTAGTAGCACCTGTTAGGGTCCCAGCTATGGTCCACTAGACAAAAACATTATGAAAGTATAAAAATACATTTCAATAGTAAAACACGGGCGTTTTATTTTTATATAAAATAGACCACCAGTACATGCCCAGCAATACATTTTATCTGTAGTTGAAGGCATACAATTGCGTTCAAAATACATTTAGTTGGAGCCATACAATTGTGTTTGAAATATTTAGATTTTTGCGTTGAATAACCCATAAAGGTATTGATATGGTTCTCAAGAAAATCAGCCAACCAACCAACATGAAAGGACTCTTTCATGACATTAATCATTAGAATAACCTACAATTTCTCAAAGAAATCAAACTGTATTCCAATATATAAATAAAAAAAATACAACAATTATCTCCTCACAAACATGTATATGCACAAAAGCTGAGTATCATCTACCATGTATTTAATTGTGAAAGCAGAATAACATATTATATTTTTATTACTTCAAAGCTACCAAGAAAATTAAATTTCGGCATTACATGACCCGTGAGGATTTGATGTGCCGTTAAACAAATCAACTAACTATCGTATCTTTGTAGCACTTCTAATCTAGTTTCTCATTTTTCACCTGGTTTCCAGCTCACAACACGCACGTTTAGTCGCAAGAACATTCTACTGCGTTTTAAGAGACCCGCAGGTTTTGAAATGCTTTTCACGATAGCTGGTAATTGTGCGTGAAAATTTCTGTCCTTTGGGGTAAAGCTTCTTCTGAATCTTTTAATTTAAAAAAAAATAATTTCACATCAAGCAAAACGATAACGACACTAAGAGGTTAACTGCATTAGAAAGACACTGAGAACATCTTATTGGCTAGAAAGAATAATGAAAGAAAAGGTTCCAAGAAGACAGACGATAACGACTGGCGTTGCATTGAAGATTTTGAAGATCGTAGATGACAGGAAAGCAAGAATCCTGGAGAGAGTTCCGCAAGAGAGAAGTGCGGGAGAAGAAACTCTTAGAATAGAACTTACGGTTACATTTAACTACTTCAGTCGTAAAATAATAACTCCTAATCTGAGTAGAGGTTACATATGTGGTCGAGGAACCAAATATAAAAGCTCATTAGAACAATTGCCATGAAGGTATTTAGAGAAAAGGCACAGGGATGCTATATTATGACAGGGAAGCTATGTTATGGTGGCGACTGAAGCAGAGATGCTAGGTCAGGACTGATAAAATTGCGGATTCTTTGTATATTTTTCAGAATCCACAGCAAAAATATCAGCCCAGATGTAGCAACAATATTCAATAAACTGGCGAATAGTAAACATATAAAGATAGATCCAGACACTGTGAACCAACTTTCCTAGGAGCAGAATTAAGAATTGATTCGATATATGAAAAATGAGGAGAAAAATTGTGACTGACAGAAGAGAAAGACACAAAGGGTGATTGAGAGAGAAAGTAGCAAGAAAATCGATGAAGAAAAGATAGAGATAATGAAATTGTAGAAAATAATGAAAAAAAAAGCAAAGAAGACGAAAAGAGAGATGAAGAAGGAGTATGGGGGTAGTGTTGAATAATGAGGGGAGAGACTTAGCAAGTAGAAAGACTGAAAACTAATAGAGAAGGTGGGGAGAAATGACGAAGGGAGAGAATCGGGAAAGAGAAGAGAAATAGGGTAAAGAGGGAGAGAAAGAAAAAAGAGAAAATGCTGGATAAAGAAGAAGGGTGACAAAGGAAAGTAGACAAGAGAAAAAATGTTAGAAGAGCTAGAACAAGAAAGAGGGAAGACATGAAGTGGATAAAGAGAGAGAGAGAGAGAGAGAGAGAGAGAGAGAGAGAGAGAGAATTGGAAGACCGTGAAGTGAAGAGAAAGGAATAAAAGAGAGAGAGAGAGAAGATATACAAAAAATACGAGAAGCAGTAGAACAAGAAGGAGGAAGAAGAGGAATTAAGATAAAAGAGATAGATAGATAGATAGATAGATAGAGAGATAGGGAGAAGAGAAAGAGGATAAAAAATGAAATCAAGACTCGAAGAGAGAGGATGAAATAAGAGGAAAGGGGGGGAGAAAAATTAGAGAGAATGCGAGAGATAAATAGAGAGATAGATAGCGAGAGAAGAAGAAGCAGAAGAAGAAGAAGAAGAAGAAGAAGAAGAAGGTGATAAAATGTAAAGTAGAGAGAGAGAGAGAGAGAGAGGGGGGGAGATAGTGGGGGAGAGGCACAGAGACAAGGGACAAAGTGAATATTCGCGTTTGCAGCTGGAACCACTTCAGTCCCACTGCTCAACATGAAAATACATTTCCTTTTCGATTTTCGTGTCGACCAAGATGGAATTGTTTATTATCAATATTTTCCCAAAAAAAAAAAAAAAAAAAAAAAAAAAAAAAAAAAGACAGTCGCAAGAGAAGAAGCATCAAAAGAAGAATTTTTCAAGACTGGACCTGTGTTTTTGCAGCTGACGATTCCGGAAACGAATGAGAATTCAAAACCAAAAAGGAGCCGAGAGGGAGGGGAATTAAAAAAAAAATAAAATTTAAATCCACAATAAAAAGTAATAAATTAAAAAAAGAAATATTTGAGAATTCGTAATCCATCTACTGACGCACGAACGTACAAATACAGAGTTTCACAATCAAACATTCCCAGATATACACATGTACACTCAACTTCACAAGCAAACACTTTCAGATATACACATACACACACAAAATCCCCACTCAATCACAGAAACAAACAAATACATACATATTTGATTAAAAAAAAAGGAAAATTAAGAAAAAATAAAATTAACATGTTTCGGTATTTATTTAACTTCATCAGAAGTTTTTGGAGGTAAATAATGCAGTGTCGTTTCGAGTTTTTATTCCTGCAGCTATTTCTATAATGGCTGTGTAGATTTTGCTATCTATCTATCTATCTATCTATCTATCTATCTATCTATCTATCTATCTATCTGTTGTAGCATACCTACAGACAATCATAGGTATGTCCCCATTTACGTAAATGCAGTAGTAAATACTGTATGTTGGTCTGTAGTTGGAGATTCGTCTCCAGCTGTGCTGGTCAAACTCTGCCTCCGTCAGTGAGGATCCCCAGACGAGGCTATGACAAAGGGCAGAGTCTCGTCTCGGAAAACAGCTACCCAACCCCGTTTTATACGGGGTCACGCCGAATTTTGGGCTGAACCTACGGGCTCGGATACTCTACATTAAATTCTGCCTTGTGTCACATCTGACCGCATTGGGCGTTTGATAGATATCCTGCAGTTGGAGATTCATTGTGGAATTCACTTGACTCACTTCTAGGAGTTTACTACTTCTACGCGCCGCTGGCGAATCTTATATGCGCTGGATGTGTCCTAAGTATTATTACACATTAACAAACTTTGTTTGATTATTCTGTTTAGTAACCTTCCCTAGGTTACAACACTATCTATCTATCTATCTATCTATCTATCTATCTATCTATCTATCTATCTATCTATAAAATCGCGAATAAAATACATGCGCTAGTGTCAGAGGAGTTTGACAATTTCTCGACCTGATCCACTCCCCCAAATCTGACAAATCGTGATAATTTTTAAAAATTTTTCAATACCTTCTTGAATCAGGGTTCTGCGTATACCCTTGTGCAAATTAATTGAAACAATCGTTTTAGTTTCCCTTCTTTAACCATACGGTCAGTTTTAGACCCACTGGAGTGACAGGATGTAATCGATTTCTATTTTTTCCTCAGATTAGGTCATTTGCAGTGGTGTGAAGTAATATGTATCTGTTTTTCGGGGTGTATGATGAAATTTGTTTGGCTTTGAAAAAAATTGCATCGCCGTGATTGCATCAGATTTTTATCACGACCAGACACTATTGTCTCGACTATCGATTAGTTGTCGTTGACTGCGTTGGACGTTACTCCCAGGAAGCGTACGAAAATTTTAACGCTGTACGAACACATTGGCAAGCCTTACCAGTGAGCAAATCAAAGTACTATAAACTGGCCCGGAAACTCTCCTGATTTAAATCCAGTCGAGAATCTGTGGTCAATCTGCAAGGAACGACTTCGTGGGATGCACATACGAAATACTAACATGCACATTGGGTCATGTTTCATTGAAAAAATACGAAAAAAAAAAAAGGAAATGATAATGGATTTATTCGTTTCTTTCAATTAATTAATTTGCACAACGGTATATGTTTGAGATGTGATTCACAGGCTGGATTTCTCCATGAACCCATCCTATAAAATAAATCTTCTTTACAGCGAGATTATTTTTTACAATGTCTATCATTGTTTTACGTTTTGCAAATTGAGAAGTTATGAAACATTTCTCTTTATTCGTAGGCTTACAGCCATATTAGATTGCAATTTATGATCTTCGGTCAAATAACTCTACAGCTTGTGGTCTATCGTCGAATCAATCCTGGGTATAACGATAAACTTCATTCGGCAGCAAGGTCTCTGATCGGGATATTCGAAGTATTTAGGAGCCTGGAATCACCTCTTAATTGTGGTTGTTCCTAGGTCCACCCTGACACGGGGTGGTAGCATTTGTTAGGATCCGATCACCGAAGTTAAACAACGTTGAGCTTGGTCAGTAACTAAATGTTCCAACTGTTCCAATGGGCCGAGATGACTCAGAGATTGCAAATCAGACTCAACTCCTAATAATTACTATCTGTGTATATCATCGCTTGAACCGGCTTCTAATGCTCTAGAGTGAGCGGTTTGGTTACAGAGAACTCAGTATCGTTCCACCATGGAATATGTGAGCGAGCGACGCTATATTGAGTCTGATTTGCAGTTGGAACAGTTGGTATGACGTTTGCTTGACAACTTAACTGTCAGGGTTTCAATTCTCGGTAGTGGATGCGCACTGCTGATGAGTCCCAAATATAGGACGAAACGGTCGTCCAGTGCTTTCTGCATTTTGTTGAGGTTTCTCCTAGACTCGATGAATTACTTAAATATAATTATCAAATTCTCCTAATAATTACTATCTCTCTCTCTCTCTCTCTCTCTATATATATATATATATATATATATACTCGCGTATCATGCGACTTTTGAAGCTAATTTTAAGGGCGTTGCATCACAGACGAGATGTAAAATTAGCGTATGTACAGTTGACCCTGGCTTTGCCGTTCATCAAACGACATTTACTGTAGACAAAAAGTACAGCTGTATTTAAAATAAACATGGAGCATTGTATATGGTACACAAGGTAGACCAAAAGTAAGATTATACTAAATAGATATACACTTTACATTTTAAAAAAATATTTTATTACATTTTTATATATTTTTTACAATCATATTTGCTCAGAGCTGTTTATGTACACTTGTTTAATACTTTTATATTTTAATCTCTTAAGTGTTCAAAATGTCCTCCATCAACTTGCAACATTCCTCGAACCTCTACAGAACATTATGACAGGACAACAAAAATGCAGATTTGCATCAATTTCAAAATATATTTCTGAGATGCACTCTTTTAATTCGTCGCCCGGATTATAAATCTCACTATTTCTCCCATAACTCCTGTTCTTTACTACACCTAAAAAAAAAAAAAATCCATTGGTGTTAGGTCAGGTGAAAGTGATGGCCATTCGATGCTGCCCTTTATTCTGAAACAACATGGTGGAAAGGTTTGGTTAAGGTAGTCCATAATGAAGAAGTGCTCCATCTTGCTGTAGTTGGTGAAGTTAGCTCTGGTTGTGAAACAAATAATGAAAAAACTTTTGGTTCACCCTTGATATATATATATATATATATATATATATATATATATATATATATATATATATATATACAATAATCATTCATACAAAAAAATTTTGTTAGCGAAGGGAATTCGCCATTTTATATCATTAACTTTACTAATTTACTTTTTGTATGAATGATTCATTGTAATATAAATGGAACTGCACCACATATTTTTATATATATATATATATATATATATATATATATATATATATATATATATATATATAACATAATTATTTTTTAAAATATGATTCAATCGTGACACTAATAATTATAATATTATGCTCTACTGCTGTATCGAGCACTGTATTTTAAAAACAATAAAAATGAATGCCAAGAACTCTGGATTATAAATCTCACTGTTCTTTTCTATACTATTATATATATATATATATATATATATATATATATATATATATATATATATATATATATATCTGTGTGTGTGTGTGTGTGTGTGTGTGTGTGTAAAAGAACGAAGAGTGAGATTTCAGCGTTCAAATGATTAATTTAAAAAAGCGCGTAATACAGAAGAAGAGCAATAAATATTTATTTATTTATTATGCAGGGTTACATTAGACCATGCACATACCCACTACAAAACTGTACGTCTTGTTTCAACGTTAAAAAAATAACGTTTCATCAGGTAGGAAATCCTGAGGCTACTAAAATACTTTTTCTGAATAAAATATCTTAGTAGCATCGTGATTTCCCACTTGATGAAACGTTAAAATCTATTTAACGTTGAAACCAGATGTACCGTTTTGTTACTGGGTATATATATATATATATATATATATATATATATATATATATATATATATTATTGGAGATTAAAACAAAAAGATGTTAAAAGTCGCTTCACAATAGCAATAGTTTTTCAACACTACAAATGTGTCTCCTCGGTCGATGGTAAATTACTGGTGAGTGAACGGTTAATTTCTTAACAGAATACTTTCTCTTTTTTTGAAAGAGGGAGAGAAGACGAGAAAACAATGAACAAAACAGAATTAAAATGAGGCTTGTGGGTTTACCGTGATTAGCCAATCATATATAAGGCCTATGCTAAAATTCAAGCCAAACTGAAAAAAATTATATAGGTCATGACATGTAGTTGTCTACTCTGCATTGAGCCCTCTGTTAAATTAAATTTTACGAACAGCGGAATTATACTTCATTTGTTCTTAACTTACCTATATATATATATATATATATATATATATAGCAGTTCCTTATTAATGCCTTGAGACAATATATTTTGTTGAATATTTACCAAAGTTTTCCTCCACGCATGTCTATATTGGCAGTGTTCCCTGGAATTTCATTCAACACAACCTAATAAAAAACACGATAACAACGTACATTAACAAAAAAAGAGAGAGCAAATATTGAGAAACAGCAATAATTTTCTTTTCAAATTATAAAAACACTGCTGTCTTGGTTTGATGCTGGGGATTTTTCATCGACGTATACTCGAGAGATCGCCAAATTCTCAGGGGCTCTAGAATATTTTATGATTTGGTTCCG